TTGAGGCGCTACTCATTTGTAAAATATTACTCAATACTAAACACATTTTCAATATTCAGCAATAATCAATACTCATAATCCATATTAAAATTCCAATGATGCAAATCCAATAATAATCCTAGGAAAATAAAACCCATCAATAATTCAATAATTTGGTACTAGTGAAAAACAATAATCAATAATGCAATAATATTCAAGTTCAGTTTTCAAGGCGGAAGCATTTATTAAATTTTAAAGACCACCACTCGCATCCCTTCCGTCGTGCCGCATAAACTAACCTGCATCCATGAAGAGCAGGTGGGGATGAGCACAATAGGAAAGTCGAGGTGCTCACCGCTATGCAATAAATAATCTCAATAATCATGAAAACAATTTAAGTATGGTCGCAGCATGTATACGAATCAATAACTGTCTCATCTCCTATCAATAATCAATAATGGTCTCATGTGCACACCTATAACAATAGACTACTGCCGAGCTATATACCGAACGTCTTCCTCGAAGGCCTTACAACGAGTGCCCGGCCAGCAGGAGCAATAATCCACCCCGAATGTCAAAATTTTCGCCTTGGCCTTACATACGAGGATCACCAGCCAAGGCTCACGCCCTGACTGCCAACAATAATAAAGGAGACTACCCGAAGGTACGTTCTATAGCTACGGGGATAACCGTTCGACGGTCAATATAGCTCACATCGAAGGCTACATGATTCACATGCATACTTTGATCATACAACAACAAAAACCAATTAATTAAGGCATAGCAAATTTTACAATTACAATCCACCTGGAAATTTCGGTAGAAAGGCACACAAAATCAAGTACGTAAGATGAGACTCGACTCCTCAAACACCTACATTTAAGTGAGATCATTTATTAATAAACTATCTCACTATTCGAATTTATTATAAAACCCACACTTAATAAAAATTAAGACTTAAAGGTTTTAATCGGATTTTTCGTGGATTTGGAACTCTCTCATTTTTCTCAAAATAGAACTCAGAAAATTAATTTGGAGTCTTGGGACTTAAAAATATTTTTCCAAATTTTTCTACTTTGAAAATAATTTTTAGAATTGAAATCGGTATTAAAAAGGGGCTCCGAAACTCAAAATAAGCTTAAAAATAACGAACTGGACAAGCTGTCCGAATTTTGGGCTTTGACACGCAATATTGGGCAACCAAGAAATGAACGCGCATACATTGGGCCGCAGAGGGTCTGCTTAATCACTGGGAAATGCGCGGGCCTCTAGGATTTCACGCGGGCCGACTAATGCAGCCAGAACACGGGCCGTGCACGGGCCTAATACGGGCTTAACAGCCGGCACACCTGCTGCTGGGGAAACAAAATATTTTGGCTGGTTTTAAAGCATTTGGTTGTGGGGATTGGCCAGGAAATAAATTACAATGGCTGATAACTTAAACAAGTTGGGTTAAACAATTATAACCTCAATCAATTAGGCTTAAATAACAACGCACACTACAGGGTTTTAACAGCAATTTCTGATACTTGCGCGAACAAAATACCATGCGAAACAGAGAAAAAACAGTTGTCTGCTTAAAATTCTTACGACAAATCTCGAGCACGACCAGAGATCGAAAGACCACGAAAATATCACGATAACAACGAATTTTCAGAGTTTCAACATTTTATAAAATCGAGTTTATTTGTTCGAAAATAACGAAACGACAACACACGGTTCGAAGACGAACGAACAACACGACCACGGTAAAGCTCGAACGATAATACGAGACTCCGAAATCAAACGAATTACACACAGCTGCAACGAGACTCACTTATACGATAAACGAGAGTTCTGATAATCTACGTAAATTCACAAACAACACTCAATATAAGAAACGATGAATAACCAAACAATCAACGAGAAATCGATTCGACGAACACGATGAATCAACGAATAAATACCAGCACGAATAAAATAACGTGAAAGTTCGGAAATGGATATCCGTCTTCGAGAATCTACGAGCTCGGGAGATAAGCGGACCAAACGATCGGTACTCGGACGAGCGGGTAGCAGCCTCGAAACTCCTCGAAAGCTCGGACTGAAATCGATGAACTGCTCGTGAACGGACCGTTGAGGGGTCTTCGATGGCGGGCTGCGCGGAGGTGGTCTCGCCGGAGAAGAAGATGGTCGTCGGGATTAATGGCTGCTTCACCAGAATTGCAGCTAGCGAACTTTTCTTTCTTTTTTTTAAGGGACGATGGAATAGCGAGTGAGGGATAGAGGGCACAGGGGATGGATTTCTGATGAGGGAGAATGACTCTGGAACGAGTCTTATGTAGAGGAGGGCGAGAGACTAGCGAACGTGCGGGGCAACTCACCCAAAAGAATCGCGAACGGATTTGAGGT